AATCCTCCTGGTAACAATATATAATGCTGTCATTTGATTATTACCAGATCAATGGTAGAATCCAACGTAGTGGGGCTGCACATTTTCACAAATGCCTTTAATTCTTTTGTAAGTCCGTTGACAAAGCTAGATATGAAATAGTCTGATGTGAAGCATTAACATGTAGGATTTTAATTCCTCAAATTTTTTGACGTACATTTCATAATCATTTCCCATTTTAAGCTTATTAAAATCCTCGATAATTGAGGAAGCTTTCAATCCCTCAAAATGGGCAGATATAACACCCAGAAACTGTTCCCAGGATAATATGGTCAGATCTCTGTAAAAATTTTGGAGCCATGCATGATAAGGCTTTTCCTTCGAAGTGCATGGCAACCAATGTGACCCTTTGATCCGAGGGGATGTGTGGCATCAGTTTAAAGTAACCCTGGCAGTTTATGGTCCAAGCTCGAGGGTTGGACCATAAAATTTACGAAAATCAACCTTAAGGAAGGAGGATTAGAGTGGTAATTACGAGGCTGCTCGTTGTTTCTGTACCTCTGATTCGATGTCATGATATGCAAGTTATAAGGCACCAACACAGCCGGTGGTTCTCCTAACATGAAGAATTCTTCAATAATAGGTTCATTTTCCAAGTGATGGCCCACCAGTCTCTATCGGTTTGGAGAAGAACTGGTCGCAATCGGGTCAACTTTTACTTCTATAGCCTCCATTCGTTTTTGTGTATGCTCCAGGTGCTTGAGAATTTCAGTTTGAATCTCCCGATTCCACAACTGAATCTTCTCGCTATTTTGTTTTGCATATTCTCTCTTGAGGGTCTTCGCTAGAATGCTTTGCTCTATCCTATTCTGGGCTTCCGAGCATTCCTTAAGCCCGACACAACTCCCTCTGTCATCTTCCTGGACCAGCTGATGTTCTGATATCAAATGTGATGGATTTCTTACCTGGTTAAGAACAATACAGTGACCGAGGAAATTGGTAAGGGGAGAAAATACTTGGAGAATTAGAGAGAAGTTAGTTATGATTTCCTAACTTTTCTCCAAAAAGGACTACACACACACACACACACATATATATGTTGTTGCCTGCGATGCTAAAAGTGGTACTAACCCAAGGACATTAATTAGGTTTAATATTTTTTAACACCGGTGGAAAACCATCCGAGGATGGGGTAATTAAGGGTCGGGTAACACCTTATCAATTTATTAGAACAAAGATTACAAAAACAAAGTGACTAGGCTGAGCCTAATTAAAAATTAGGGATATGGGTAGCTAATGGCATCATATTTAAGGAAGCCGAAAAATTGATTACAATGCATTTGGTATCGACTAATTCTAACTTTATTAAAAGCAACAAATTCAGCCGCCCGATTAGTACCAGCATTAATAGAACTGAAAGCAAAACGATTGGAGTTGTATTGTCTTATACGCGTACAACTCTTCCAGTGGGTCCAATGGTGCAATATTTCTCCTCGAATAAAAGCACATACATGCGAGTTATCAAGTTCAACGATAAAGTTAGTTGCTGGAAGTTGATCGAAAAAAAGGTCTAAAATAAATAAGGGGAAGTTCCCGAAATAGGACTAAAACAGTTTGAAAATTCCAAAATAGGACTGCCATGTTTTTTATTCCCAAAATAGGAGTAATTACTATCAAGTTTGGAAAATACTATCATGTTTGAAGTCTGGTACTACCAAAACATGACAGTAATTAGTCCGATTTTGGGAATAAAAACATGGCAGTCCTATTTTGGAATTTTCAAACCTTTTTAGTCCTATTTCGGGTAACATTCTCAATAAATAATGGCATCATAAAGGGCGGCATTCGGATCCTTTGTGTGACTAAGATGACCAGCGTGCCCTTTGTTGTAACCATTGGAATCTCTAGCAATAAAACCCGATCTCACAATATTAGTGTGGAGAATTCTAGTAGCAATATTAACTTCAATAAAACCCAATTGTGGCTTAATCCAAGTGTAAAAGATAGTAGGCCTATCCCTCGGAGAAGGAGAAATGTGCATGTGAATATTATAATGAAGGGGTGCTTTGCTTTTAACCGAGGCTAAGTAGAGTTCCCTTTTAATAAGATTAATGGCCTCATTAATGTTCTTGTTATCATAAAGAAAGGTATTCCGAACCTTCCAAAGCTGCCAAACAATGTAATTCGGGACAATATAATTAAGGCCTGTGGCAGGTCCGTTGAGATCCAAATACCAACTCTTAAGGTAATCATGGATACTACGATTCCTACTTTTCCGAAAATGAAACAGATCCTCAAAGTGCCTCCAAATTTTATCAGTGGCTGCACAATGAAGGAAGTAGTGATCCAATAACTTTTAATTTTAGCCCAATCCATAGATTGCTTCTTCAACTGCGTTGTCACCTCCTGTACGGGTAGATAGATGGTCCCTTTCATGTCACCCTATTTCTTAGCTAACCCCCCTTCCTTTTTCTCTGTAATTTTAGCCGAGGATATGACATATTTGCTTCTCCCTTAAACTATTTGTAACTGTCAAATACGTGTACAAATTCCTCTCCGTCTACCCTGGCTATATATTTTCCGGCAGAAAATTCAGCTTCTCAACGCTTATGGGTTGCTAATTGAACAATGTTTCAATTCGTATCAGGTATGAATAATGTGATTTAGAGTTTATATTGCTCAATTATTCATTCTCTGTTTAAAGGAAGATAGCAGCAGCAACCCCAAATGGTAAAATTTCTAAACAATAATACTCTAGCAAACTTAGCTTTGCTAGGTAGTAACCCAAAAACTCAACCTGCACATTTCACAATGTATTTTCTATGTACAAAGTAAATATGGCCTCAACAAAATAGTGTTGTGAGGAATTATAATATGAATGAGAGAAAAGGGTCATATAAGCCCCTGTACTATTGCAAAAACATCACTTAAACTCATCTACTTAAAAAAACATCACATAAACATATCAACTCTTAAAAGAGGATCACATTAACCAAATTACCGGCATTTCACCCTTTTTAGCCGGTCAGTTCATTTCTTTTCTTTTTCTTTATTTTTCCGTCTCCCCTTTTGATTCTCTTTCTTCGTTTCATTTCTCCAACTATCTCTTCTAGTCTTCTTCGCACTCATTTGCAGGAATTGCATATTTGTTTTTTTTTCTTGTTCCTTTTTCTTTCTCTTTTTTCTTTAATTTCCAGCTAGTTACTCCCGATCGAATGCACTGAACTTCTTTACCTTTTGTTTTTTAATTCTCCTTATCTATCTTCCACTGGGTTCCTACTTCAGCTCCCGGCCCGTCCCCCCTTCTTACATACACTTCTTCTATTTTTGTTCCTCTAATTTTAATATTCTTCTTTTCTGATCTTCCTGATGAAGATGGAACGTAAGAGCAAACAGTATTGGCAAATAAAAGCTTTATCTAGAGGTCTAGACAAACATGTGAAACTGTGAAAGAAATAATTGATCAGAATTGATTTTTCTGTACTCTTGCATGCGCCCTATATATTACATCCATGACTCTTGCTATAATCAGTGTTTTAAATAGCCATAGCGGTAATGGTCATCTCGGTAGCGGCCTGCGGGCCTGTAGTGGCCTGTAGCGGTTGTAGCGGCGATAAATTTTTTCAAATGCGCAAAACATATATATATTTAATGGGTGTTAAAGTTAATAGGACATTATGAATATTTGTTTGAACATTTATAACATTAACAACTAATCAACCAATAAGAATATGACAATTAAAAGAGAATGATAATTAGAACGATTGATAAACTAAATAATTATTACACACACAATAAAAAATGTTTTCAAACTAAACAAGTCTTAACACAACTTTAAATTAAATAGATTGTTACATTAAATGACACATTACAAAAGTTCGAAATATTACACAGTCACCACCTACAATTTAATATGAAAATTACGTAGGTAGTAAAAGTTATAAATTTTATACTTTTATGAAAATATTTTTAATAAAGAACATTATTATTTTATTTGTATATTATAAATAATTTTCAATAAAAAGATATACTCCTCCGTCCCAAAAATATATTACTTATATGAAATTTTTTGTCCTTTCACAATCAAATTTTAAGAATTGGACCATGCATTGCAACTTGCATAATCCATAATAATACCACTTTCGTTCCAAATTGTTTTGTTAAGTCAACAGTTTTTTCGTCAACCAATATTAAAGTTAAATCATCCTTATTAATAATTAATTCGGTTTTAATAATTAAAATTTAGATATTTATTACTACCTCCGGTTTTTTTTAATCTTCACAGTTTGACTTCACACAAAATAAGGAAAGAAATTTGACTTTACTGTAGAGTACACTGTTGAGGCACTGTTTGACACTGTTTGACACTGTAGAGACACTGTTTGGCACTGTTGAGACACTGTTTGGCACTGTTTGGTACTGTTTTGATGTAGATTTCTTTGCCAAAAAAGGAAATAAGGAAGTGTGAAGTTTATTTTAGACCGTCCCAAAAAGGAAAGTGTGAAGTTTATTAAAAACCGGAGGGAGTAATATTTGCTACCATAATGTATGTGGATACATGTATATTTAATTAAGAGTTTCACTCCGGAAGTTTGTGATGTACTCCCGCAAGTGCCGGTAGCGACCTGTAGTCCATGCATCACCATTAATGTATTTTCTCACATCAACCAATTCGTGGTGTACTGCTGGAAGTGGCGGTAGCAGTCTGTAGCGGGCGGCATAGCATAATTATCCCGTGATTCGAAAATCACACCATGATAACGGCCCGTAGCGGTAGCGGTGCCTACCGCGACCACCTACGGTGCACCGATACTTCACTCGGATGTCGTATCCGCGTATCCGATACGTATCCGATACCGATACTTACCGATACACGTCCTGTACGTATTGGGTCCGTATCCGTAATTTAATAAAAGTATTGGGCCCGTATCCGTAAAAAACAAAAACCCGGATACACGTATCCGGTTCCGGAAACGCGTATCCAAACCCAAACCCCGATTTTCATACGCGACCATGACAATTTTACAACCAGTCCGCCAGAAGTCCTCAACCAAAAGTCCAAAAGTCCTCAGCCTTAACTAAACCTAAGAACACATACAGTAGACCGCCGCTGGCAGCATGTCGCGACCACTCCGACCAGTCCGCCACAACTCCTCAGCCATCCTCCATCGCCAATCCTCTGCATCTCTTACAACCAGGTAAAGTCTAACACTCTATTCTAACTTATTTATCTTCTTCTCTATATCAAATTTAACTTATATTCCCCTCAATTGCAGATTTAACCTATATTCTTCCTCTCCATAGCAGATTTGACATATCTTCCTCTCAATCACAGATTTAATCTTGCTTTTTTCATATGGCTTTCAATCGCAGTTTTTCAGCGCTTCACAAGTAACCGAATCCCTTGTTATTTCTTTCTGTTTCCTCGCACAATCAGCCAGGAAACTACCAGGTAACCAAAATGTGTTTATTTTGCTTCTTCTTTTTCAGTTTACTGGTGCATCCGAGTGTCAAACTAACTGGCATACAATTTATATGAATGAACCCATCCTTTAGTAATACACTAATACCCCATCATCCGTATAAGTTAGTTCACTAAGAAGATAACTTGGTCAATTTACTGTGTTTTGCTTTTGTTAATGATAGTCATTGGCTCAATGCCCAGACTGTTTTTATGAATTACATATTTGTTCTAAATGGATATAACGGTTATCTCTTATTCAGAAAGAAGCATCACTAAATGATATCAAGGTGTATATATTGTGTTTTACTAAGAAGATAACTTAGTAAATTGGAATACACTGGATAGTAGCAAACAGGATGTATAAATTTGACCATGGGGAAACTGGATAGTAGCAAACTGTGAATTCTAGTCTCCAATGCTTGTTATTTGATTTTGCAGGAATGAATCCATCTAATAATGCTGGTGCATCCCGAAGGGCAAGTCTAAATAACAAAAATGAAGATGAACACCCTTTGTGGAAATATGTCACAAAATATGATAAAGGCGAAAGGGTTAATGTGGGTGGTAATGCAACATGGATCTGCCACTTTTGCAATCAAGAAAAGCAAGGGTCATACACTAGAGTTAGAGGCCACTTATTGAGAATTTCTGGGAAAGGTATTAATGCGTGTCCAAAAGTTTCTCGTGACAATATAATTGAAATGAACAAATGTGAAGATGAAGCATCCATTGCAATTCAAAGTTCTCAACCTAAAACAGTGTCTTTGCCCACACATGGCTCAAGTTCCTCAATTCAAGAGCCAACTAGTTCCAGTTCTGTCAACAAGAGGAAAAGGGTGAACGATTCTGTCATTGGTAGAGCTTTTGATATGCACACTAGAGATCAACTTGATGCACATATAGGTCGAATGTTTTTTACTGGAGGGTTGCCATTTAATTTGGCTCGAAATCCTTATTATGTGAGTGCATTCACATTTGCTGCTAATCATTCTCTAGGTGGCTATATTCCTCCAGGATACAATAAATTGAGAACAACATTGCTTCAACAGGAGAAAGCTCATGTCCAACAATTACTAGAACCCATTAAAAGTACTTGGGTAGAAAAAGGAGTGAGCATTGTGAGTGATGGATGGGGAGACCCACAACGAAGACCTTTGATTAATTTCATGGTTGTTTCTGAAGCTGGCCCGATGTTTAATAGAGCTTGTGATTGTTCGGGGGAGATTAAGGATAAGGAATTCATTGCTGCACTAATGAAGGAAGTCATTGATGAAGTTGGTCATGAAAAGGTTGTGCAAATAGTTACAGACAATGCTGGGAATTGTAAGGGTGCCGGGGCAATAATTGAAGGTATCTTCCCACATATCTATTGGACTCCTTGCGTTGTTCATACATTGAATCTTGCTTTGAAGAACATTTGTGCAGCAAAGAACCTTGAATCTAACCAAGAAACATATGAGGAGTGTCATTGGATCACAGAAGTTTATGGTGATGCCGTGCATATAAAAAATTACATAATGAATCACTCCATGAGACTTGCCATGTATAACCATTTTAGTCCTTTGAAGTTGCTTTCGGTTGCTGAAACCCGTTTTGCTTCGGTAGTTGTTGTCCTGAAAAGATTTAAACTTATTAAACGTTCCTTAGAAGCAATGGTTTTAAGTGAACAATGGATACAATATCGAGATGATAAACAAGGGAATGCTAGATTTGTTCGAGATAAAGTGTTGGATGAATCTTGGTGGGCACAAGTTGATTATATTATTGCTTTCACTGCACCGATGTATGATATGATCAGAACATGTGATACAAACAAGCCAACTCTACATTTGGTTTGTGACTTATGGGACACTATGATACATGAAGTGAGGACAATTATTTATAGGCATGAAGACAAGTCCTTTAATGAAGAGTCTCCCTTCTTTAATGTGGTTCATCACATTCTTCTGGATCGCAGGGGAAAAACTGAAAAAGTATTACTCCCCTCCATTGTCTGGCACATTCACTAAACCCGCAGTAAGTTTTTATTACAATTCTGTTATCAATGCCTTCTCTATACTACTAGTGTATGCATTACATATATTACATTTGTTCTAACATAAAGGAACTGGAGCAATAGTGTTGGGAGATGAGAGATCTACACAGCACACACCATTTAGTTGTATTGCTTCTCTCATATAACATTTGTTCTGATACTGCACCATATAGGTTTTTTGCATGCAAATGAATCATAAAGGACTGGCGAGACCCGGTATTATTATTATTTTTCTAAGAATGCTGGTTAAGCAACTAACATTGCCATGTTTTTTTGTGATCCTGAAATCAATTTAATTGGTGCGAGAATAGACATCTCATATATAGCTAGGTTTAAACTATCAAATGGGGCTCACTGTCTATCTTGTTATATTATGGGCAGGATATTATGATAATTTATGGGCAGAATTGTAAATCATATTATCCTCTACTATCTATTTTTTTACTGTTTATGTTATGTTTTTTCTTTCGAAGGTTCTATACTGACCAATGGGTTAATGCAAGACAAGGAAGAGTGCTTCCTCATATGGATGGAGAGCTATCTCTTGAACGAAATAAGTGCTTTAGAAGAATTTTCTCTCTCGAAGAACGTCGTCAAGTGATGAGTCAGTTCGCTGACTTTTCTCTCAAAAGCGGAGCATTTCAAGATCCCGATTCTATTGGTAGTAGATACGAAATGGAGCCAAAAAGGTGGTGGGCATTATTTGGTTCATGTGCTCCTTCACTTCAAAAAATGGCTTTTAAAGTGCTTGGACAACCTACTTCGTCTTCTTGCTCTGAAAGAAATTGGAGCTCTTACTCATTTATCCATTCTTTTAGAAGGAATAAACTGTTGCCAAAACGTGTTGAGGATTTGGTATTCACTCACAATAATCTCCGTCTTCTGTCACGGGCATCTCCAGACTATTTAAATGAGAAGCACAAGATGTGGGACATTGGCGGAGACGATTTCGGGAGCATGGAAGACATTGGAATACTTGAATTTGCAAATTTATCGCTTGATGAGCCTGAATTGGAAATAGTGCTGATAAAAGACTCGGATGTAAATGTGACTAGGGAATCAGATGCTATTTAGTTCTACATTTTACTACTCTTTGAAACATTATTATAACTGTAATTTTTGCACACTTATGGTTGTAATTTTTTGCCCACTTATGATCGTAATTGTTGCCGACTTATGATTGTAATTTTTGCTGACTTGTGGTTGTAATTTTTTGCCAACTTATGATTGTAATTTTTTGTAAACTTATGATTGTAATTTTTTGCCCACATATTACTTATGATACATAATATTTGTACATATTTGTAAATTACACCCTATATTTTTTTTATTTATAAATATACCCCCGTACCCGTATCCTATACTTTTCGACTTTGCCGTATCGCCGTACCCGTATCCGCGTATCCACGTACCCGCGTATCCGTATCCGTGCTACATAGGCGACCACTATATAGCAGTAGCGGACGGCTATTTAAACACTCGCTATAATACGTACCCGTCCGTATAAGACGTGCACGCATGAAGGATGTAACTTTAATTTCAGCTTACTGGATCTAGATTAGGATTTGTAGACCACCTCTCTTCGTTGTCTATGAGGTGGTAAAAAAAGAAGAAAGAAAAAGTTAAGAAAGAATAAGAAAAAGAAAAAAATGAAAAGAATGAGGAAGGTGGAAGAAGATCGAAGAGAGAGCTGGAGAAATGAAAGGAAGAAAGAGAACGTAACCAAAAGTAGACGGAAAAATAAAGAAAAAGAAAAGGATATCAATTGACCGAGTGACCGGTTGAAAAGAATGAATTTCCGGTAGTTTGGCTAATGTGACTCTCTTTTAAGAGTTGATATGTTTATGTGATGTTTTATTTAGTAGAGGGGTTTAAGTGATGTTTTTGCAATAGTACAAGGGCTTATGTGACCCTTTTCTCTATGAATGAAATACAACAACTTGCAGTTAGTTTTAATATTTTTTCAAACTGTTGGTGATAAAGCACATTTACTTGCTGAATCTAAAATTAATACTTGGATGCAGGAATGAAATTCAAAACATAAAGTTAAGCTATTTGAAGAATCTTATAAGTACTTGTAGTTCAACCAAAGAAGCAACTGACTGATTCATTCATTGGTACAAATTAAAGTTTTTCTCATTGTTGGTTCACTACTTTGGTATGTGAAAAATATGTATACAATAGATATGATAGGAGGTTTTAACCAACACCAATATCTATCTATTCTAAGAATATGACACTGCACATATATGCACATATACATGCTTGATTATCATCTACTTGATATTGACAGGGCTCATTGTTTTTCATTAATCTTCTTGATATTCTTAATCAACTGAACGTGTTATCCTTATATTTTTATTATTTGTTTTCCCATTTTTCTCTTATACTGTAATACCTGAGATTAATTTAAAGGGATTAATAGTACTACTCATACCAATAAGGTGTATCTCCTTTTAAGGGAGCTCATTGGCTAAGAACTCCAAGTTAAATGTGCTAGCACGAGAGTAGTCTTAGGATGGATGACCCTTTGAGAAGTTTCTCGAGGTGCGCAAGAGTAAGGACAAAGTGCACGATAAAGGTTTGCGTTGGTTTGTGAGTGCAATACTAGAGGTCTAGAAGGCATTCTGGAGTAATTACCTCGGGCCCTACATGGCGGGGTGTTACAAGTGGTATCAGAGCAACCCTGTGACAGTGTGATGATTCGTTGTATATCGGGCAGGAACTTAGCAGGGGAGGACTAAGATTTCAGAGAGTTAATTGAGATTGGTTTATGGGTACAATGAGGATGACGCGTTCCTAAATTGTGGTTGATTATAATTAATTTAAAGGGATTAATAGTATTACTCATACGAACAAGGTTTGTGTTTGTTTGTAACGAGAGTACTAGAGGTCTGAATGGGATTCCGGGGTTACTATATCGGGCCCTACAGGGTGGGGTGTTACCATTGTTCTAAAAGTCGCTAGGCGCTAGTCGGACGGTTGAGGGGCGCCTAGGCGGCTGACTAGGCCAATTTTTTTTGGCCGACTAGGCCGATTTTTTGATCGACAAGACCGACTAGGCCTCTACAGTTAGGGCCGCCTAGACCGATTAATCGGTCTGCTTAGGCCGATTTTTAGAACAGTGGGTGTTACATATACAGAGTATCTTTCTATTTATATACCTAGAAGAAAACACTTCTACAGTCTAAAAGCAACATAAAAGTCAAAATAAAAACACATTGTTTCAACTGGACTATTGTTTGAATGAATGTGAATTAGAAAGAACAATATTCCACCTTCCATAGTTTTTAGAACATAAGTAATGTGTATTTTGACTCATGTGGAGCTTTAATGCTCAACCCCCACCGTTTAGCTATACCGTTGCCGTCACCCTCCAGTGAGACCACCACCTCCGCCCACCGCCCTCCAGCAAGACACCGACCACGGTCGATGCCGCCGCCACCCTCCTACAAAATTGATGTCGGCACTTTCAAACAAGACTGTAGACACCCCACATGAGTGAAGCCACACTATCTTACACTTCCGCCATCTCCTCCCCCACGGTCATCTCCCCTTCAAGAGAGATCAACATTTTTAAAAATGACATATTATGTAATAACAATTTCGTATAAAAACATGACTTTACAGTACTAAAAAATGTCATTTTTCAAAATCTGTTTTTTTTTGGCAAATCATTTTTCAAAATCTTAGAACACGTCATTTAGAAAATGGCATTTTTATAAAATGACATATTATGACCTTTTTATATATATAAAACGAAGTGTTATGGCATTTTCGTATAAAAATGTCATAAAAACATGACGCTTTCATATAAAATGCCATTTGTAAGCCAAGTATCTTGTAGTCTGATGACATCACTGCCGATCTTTCAAAGAGGAGGTCACACGTTCGAGTCTCATTCCAATCAATGATGTTGACATTAACAAGAGCAGATACTATAATAGGTTTAGAAGAATATTTCAAAAAAATATGGCATTTGTAAATTTAAAAATATGGTAAGCGAATAAAAAATGCACTTACATCTTCATAAATGTAATGACATAAAAGTGACATTACTTTAAAATAGTGTTCAATAGAAAACAAAGATGATGTCATTTTTCAAATTTAAATGATGATGAAAATAATCTAGAAGTGGAATTCTATTTAATTGGAGTACAAATAGAAATCCAGAAGAAGAAAACCAAGGCGTATAATGACTGTGAGAGGGGGAGGTTTTTAATGGGAGTGTGTAGTCCTCTGATTTAATCTTTTTGTAAGTCTATTATGATTTTGTCTGAACTAGTCTCGATTAATAGATATATATGTTCTATATGTATTTGAAGATAAATTGTCTCAAATAGGAGTAAACATGTTTTGGAAGTCCAAAACATGACTACTATGTTTTCTTTTTCTCAAAATTAAAATCGTTACCGCTATGATTGAAATATATTGTGACAATAAGTCATGTTAATGCCTAGTAGTGCAATTATATTGAAAGTAAGGATGCGGTAAATACTGCACATTACTACTAGACTTAGACTATGTTTGGCACAACGAGTTAAAACTGGAGACTAATGTTTGAATTATAAGCTATTGTCTGAATAAGAGAGTCAGAGACTATAGGCCGGAGCTGAATTTTGAAGTGGTGAATATGAATTGCTAGCTGAATTGAGTAGACTTGTTTAGCAAAAAGAGCTGAAAAATGCTCGGATAATATGAAATTACATCAAAGGATATACTTCCCCAACCCTTAAAACTTTGTCAACTTTATTTTTGTTGTCCCTCTAAATTTGTGATTTCAATTAATTCTCCTTCATCTGCACAAACCTCAACCACACAATTTTTACTTTATTAATCCCAATGCCGATCAAACTTGATAAAGTTTTAAGGGATAAAGGAAGTATGATTTTTTGATGGAACAAATATTTATTATAACGTTATTATACGAAGTATTTATTATAGTATATTCCTTTTGTCCCATAAAACTTTGTTATCTTTTTTTTGGAATGTGCTGATAATTTTGTTACTTTCCCTTTTAATCAGCTAATTTGTGGTTTATGTTATTTCTCTCTCCTCTATACAAACTTCAACCACACAACTTTTGTTACTTTATTATTTCTGTGTCAGTCAAACTTGATAAAGTTTTAAAGAACGAAAGAAGTATGAAATTACAAGAAAAAACTTAGGAATGAACTCTCGTTTGGTTTGCTTACAAATTGGTGAGAGGCAAATTGCAGGGTGCATGCGGGAGGGGACAATGGGAGATAAGCGACTCTGGGACAAAGGGGGTGTTTGGAACCGTGATCTCTCCCAACTTCTAAAAAACTCATTCTAGAAGTAAATTAGAGCACCAAAAGTACTTTTGCATTTCACTCAAACATTTTAACTTCTGCTTCTGCTCCTTCAATGTGAAGGAACAAAAGCAATTTTAAGAATCAGATCCAAACACCCACATATTCTGTCATTAAATCTGCCGGTGTAGGAGAAAAGGAATCTGAATTTGAGCATTGGCGGAAGTACGACTCCCTTTCCTTTGAGTGGAGTTTGGTGTACACACTTTTGTACATGTCCATGTAGACTTTTTTTAAACAGACAAAAAAAAGTGTACACAAACATGCCTAAAAGTGTGTACACCAAAATAGTTCAGTTGGTTGAATGATGAAAAAATTGGAACAATAACCAAGGTTCAAAATCCGTAGCGGCCGTGTGAAGATTACCGCTCCTACGTGCTGGACTAGACTTCTGATACACACAGGTATAAAACCTACCACCATTGGACATGACTTACTACTCTATCATCCTGTCGGATCATGGGGAGCCTCCAGTGGTCTGGGTGGGAGATTCCAACAACAAAAATAGTTCGTAAAAAAGTATTTTTTCTTTGAGTCCTGATTGAGTACCCCAATTTGTATCCCAATCTGTACACTGTCTGTGTACATAGAGATTTGGACAGAAAGTCATATCTCTTTCAAATGAATTGCCTGTGTACACAGACAATTCCGGTGGGGTACCTATATAATTTTTGTTTTTCTCTCTCCCCTTTTCCAGTTTTCAGTTTCTCTTCTGATCTCTATCCTCCCCCATTCCTTTTTCACAAATAAGGTAGGACACTTATCTCCTCGATGCCCTGTAATTGGACCGCCGGAACGATCGAGCTGCAGCTCAATATAGCCTTTTGTCCAAACGAGGCTACTTTTACTGCTATTGACCGAAACTAGTCAGTTTTTTTTTTGGGATAGCACGACGATGGTGAAAGCAGTAGTGGGAGAGGAGGTGCAGCTGAAATTAGCTGAAGAGCGGCTTTCCAAATCCGGGTTGGCTGCT